TATTACTATGGATTGATAATTGGTTAACAGGAAGAAAGCAGAGAGTAGGAATAAATGGATCATTCTCAGGATGGCAGACTATTTTATAAATGGGGAACCACAATAATCAGTGTGGTCCACAGCTGTTCAGTCTATGTAAATGATTTGGTTGTGCTCTTGCAGCGCAGTGGTAATGTCCATATTTCTGAGACAGAGGCCTGTGTTGAAGTCCCACATGCTCCAGAGGTGTGTCATAACACCCTTTAGCAAGTTATTCATTGATTACCTCAAACTGGGTTGGAACAGGAGATGACAAGGATGTAAAAAGGTTTCAAGAGGACTTGGTTGGACTGAGCGAATGGCTTGAACATGGCAGATGGATTCTCATGTGAGTAAGTAGGAAGGCAAATGGTATGTTGGCCTTCAAAGTTTTGGCAAAGATCTGTAGCTCGGGTTGTGGGTGAGGTTGTTGACTTGCTCGCTGAGCTGGCTTGGTCTCGTTCAGATGTTTCGTCACCATGCTAAGTGACACCATCAATGGACCCTCCGATGAAGTGATGTTATTCTACTCCACTTGGAATTTATACTGTTTGGTCTGTTATGGTGAGCAGTGTCATTTCCAGTTTTGATCTGTATGGGTTTGTTATTACTCATCTAGCTGGAGCAGATGAGCATTGACCCCAGGCCTTCTGGCTCAGAGGTAAGGTCACTACCTCCGTGTCACCAGTGCTTTTTGTGCCTTCTATGATTGGTGAAGATGCCACAGTGAAGTGGAAAATATTTTTTTGAAAAAGTATGAAAAGGTGATACTGAATCTATTGAGTGTTGTGAGATCTTTATCTTTGAGATGGATTCTGTCTAGTACAGTGCCTATATTTGGCATCATCCATTCTGTCCAGTCAGTCTAATTTGAATTCTCTGATAATTTAGATCCACCCATTTCCAGCACAGCAATTTTCATATCTCCTCTTGCATTGAAATCTGTCACAATAATGCTAGTTTACTAGTTTTAAATAATTTGGCATAGAGAAGCTGCAGTGTTGAGCTGCTTAATTTTACAATTCTCTCTAGCATTGTAGGTATCACTGCAATCATATCATTTATTATCTTCCCCGAGATACTCTGAAGAGCTGCCAGTCCTCCTCTCAAAGCAATTTGGTACACCTGGCTGTCTAAAAAGCAACTAGGGTGCTGTTAGGACTAGGGGCTATTTCGGTGAAAATGAGGACCAGTTTGTAAATCAGTTGGGTTATGGTAGTTGTGATTTTGTGATCCCTTTCTTTCCTCTTAAATTGAATTAAAATCACTAAACTACTGTACTGAGACTTGTCTTAATCTTGATTAGAAGTCCAGGGTTGTGTATTGATTATTATAGTCTGTAAGCATTAACTTTTGTTGTCCTTTTTATCAAGGTGGGGTTTTCCTTAAATTTACCATTTGATTTACTTTCAACATTGTATAAAGTAGGCTATAAAATACACTGGTACGCTGGGAAATTGGAAGTTTTTGGTTGAATTGAATAAAGTCCTGCAGTCTTCAACAGTATTGAATCGTATTCATGAACCTTCCCCCATTCCCAAACATTTCCCAACGTGAAAACATATACATTCTTGCATCTATTAACAAAGTAGCATGTTAGTGTGTTGCATTCTTACCATCACATTTAATGAACTACCCAATGCTTAGGGTCCATTTGTGTTTAATGTACATATGAAGACTTACAATTGTTGTTGACGTTTGTGTTTAAAGATGTTTTGCACTATATTTATAAAACGTGGTATGTTCCAATGGCACTAAAATGTATAGCAATTGATATACCAATGTTGTAACTTCTTTTTATAAAAGACACTGAATTATTAAAGGTATTATTATATCTCTTTAATACTCCTAATTCATAGTCTGCAGAATCTAGTTGTTGCACCAATTGAAGGTTTGTTTATGATCTCTGCTGATCTTCAGTGAATAAGCAGCACGGGTGTTGCAGTCAATTTTGTGCTAATGTATAAATGCAAATTACCTCAAGACTTAATTTTCCACAACTGTAATCTATTGGTGAAGCTGAGCAAGGCAGTTCCTTCAGGAAGTTACCCAACAATACATTTTGTAGTCGATAAGCCACAGCACTATTTCCAGAAAGCTGGGAGCAAGTACTGTTGAAAGCATTTTTGTTTGCATCCACTGTATTATTGATACATGGTAACGATAAAAATGAATGCCAGTCGACAACCTTGCCTCATTCTTTACCTTGTGTAGAAATATAGAAGATAATGGCACATGATACATGTGTGCAGTGCTACCTAAAAAGATAAATTTGGACTTTGAAGCATTCCTACGACCATTCATTCAATTTTGTCTGTTTCCACAGCTAGATTTTCCTAAGAACAGGTTGATAACTTGTTGCCAGATGCTTAGTTTTAGGGGTGTTGCTCTTTGTCAGGCATAGCTGACTAGGAGACACTCCTGTTCTACATGCCTGCTCATTTGAGCAGCCAGTTCCGATAGACCACGTGCAGTAATGAATTCTGTCATTCTGTGCAGTGATGGAAGAATGAACAAGGATATCTGAGGGGAACAGTTCGTGAAAGTGAATTGAAGGGGAGACCTGCTTCAGGCAGCACTATGTATTTGCCACATTGATAGGTGGAGGAAATGACAGAGGCTTGTTGAATGGAATAGTGGAATTCTGATTTTGGTAGAGGTGTGGGAATAGAGAGATGAATATGTGGACAAAGCCTGTTGACAATAGCTAATAGAGGAACTTCTTCATAACAGGTTTAGAATTATGTGTACGACTTGGGTGAAATCAGCTTTCAAACAATTATTTGTGTAGCTTTTAGCTTATTTAGACAACATTAACTAAAAACTGCACGGAGTCATGAGCTTTATCAATAGTCAATTAAAGCATTGTAAACAGGCTTCCATTCCATTGCTTGATCTCAGCTTGTCTCAGATTATTGCTTGTCATATGTATTCCTCATGAAAAATATCCAGGGTCTCTCTTTTATTGTGACCCTATCCATATAGGATCACCTCACCTGGTTTGCATAACTTGTAGATGCCTCTCCATTGTGGTGCAACTGCTGGAAGGATTCTGGAATCTCCAGTCCTGCCCCTAAAACTGGCATTTCTCATTCTCTCAAGAGTGGGATTGGAATTCATTGTTTGTACACAAGTAGCTCTTAAAGGCAGCCAGCCATTTAAATTATGAGCTGCCTTCTTTGAAATTGGGTTTTGGGATCCCTGGAATGTGGAACCTGAAGTATGGATGTTAGACCAAGTAGATCAGTCTATTCTTAGTGCATTTCTTTGGGATAGCTAAGGTACCCTTTTACCCTTTTTGAATTTGGTCCCAGGACACCACCTGGGAAAGACATGGCACCATGTTCAGAGGAGGGAGGTCAGTCGCTAATTGTAGTGGTGAGAAATAGTTTTATGGTTCCAAGTCAAGTTTGTATGGACAGGAACTGGCAGAAGATAGTGTTCCCATAATGTGCATCCCCTTTCCTTCTCGGTGATCAAAGTCACAAGATTGCAGGGTGCTATCGTAAGAACCTTTGAACTGCCATGCTACATCTTTCAGATGGTACTTACTGCTATCAATTTCCATTCATGGTTATAAGAGTGGGTGTTAAAGTTGGTGAATTGGGAGCCAGTCAAGCAGAGTTTTGTTTCAGAACAGTAACTACCTGAATTCATGTAGGAGCCATGTTATTAGAAAGGCCTTGGAAAAATTTATAAGGGGAGAAAGGACACTGCAGAAACAGGAAGAGTTGAAGAAAAGATTCCAAAAATGGAGTTAGATTTTTGGAAGGCTTTTGAAGCAAGTGAGTGATGGGTGAGGAGAGTTTCAATCATACCTATTTTGGGGATTTGGGGCTTAAGGGATCGGTTCCACTCAGCATATGTATGATATGTGCACAATTTCAGAATGCTTGGCACTACCCAAATATGTGTATTTAAGCATTAGCTACTTTTATGTTGCAAAAACACAGCAGGTCAAGCATTTTGTGAAGATAAACATTTTGAGTTTGGTTAACTGAAGGATCAAATGCTTGAAAAAGTAGCTTATCCATTCTCTGTGCACATGCAGTTTGGTCTCACTATTTCCATCCTAGCTTGATTTTGTTTCAGATTTCCAACAAATGCAGTTGTTTTTGCGTTTGTAGACACCTATACTAGATAATACATACATCACACTTCAGAAAGAGTATAGTGGACAAAGTGCAGGTTAGATTTATGACACTGATGCTTGGACACCTTGGGGTTGATTTATGAGGAACAGTTGCACATTGGGTAATATTCCCTAGCATTTAGAACTGTAAAAGATAACTTTGATCAAAGTTTTCTCCACATCTGAATAGGTATATGAATAGGGAGGTTATAGAGAGATATAGTAAACTGGCATGCTTGCAAACAGACTTGGTCAGATTGGGATGTCTGGTTGACACGGATGAGTTGGTTTGAAGGGTCTGTTTCCGAGTTGTATGACTCCATCAATACAAGAGATTGAATAGATGGAGATAGTGAATCTGTTCTAATTCGAGAGTCCATTATTTGGAGACCACAGTCGCAAAACTAAACCTAGATGTTCTGAGAGGTGAAACTGGGAAAAACCTCTGCAAAAAATGGTGAGAGTTTGGAATTCTCTTCCATAAACAGCAGCTGATGCTAGGTTAGTTGGTGATTTTTAAAATTGAGACTAATTTATATTAGCCAAGGATTTTAGGAATATGAAGCAAAGATGGATGTATGGAATTAGGTGTGAGATCGGCAGCGGTGTTATTAAATGGTGAAATGAGCTTGAGGGGCCAAATGACCCAATTGTCTTCCATTGTGCAGCTTATGGTGCAGAACTGTATGGTAATCGAACATCCTTCTAACTATACCAATATCTTGCACCAGTCATGGTGTGGAGGTAACCAGCAGTGCATAAGTACCATGTTTATGTGTAATTTTCATCACTGTTCAAATATGATTTGAGCTTTGCAGATGCTAATAAGATTTAAATATTTTTGTTTCAGGAGTTCTATGAACATACAACGATACTCTGGCAGGATGAAGGTGTGAAAGCATGCTACGAGAGGTCGAATGAATATCAGCTCATTGATTGCGCACACTAGTAAGTGTCTTTTCTTCTCTTTGTAAATTGGTGGCTAGGAATGGGCATTGTAGAATTCATTCTAATGCAGAGTGTTAGGTAATTTAATATAAACTCTGTTTATGGAAATGATCTAGTAATCCAATTCCTGTTTTGCTTGCTGGCATTGCTTCTAAAACCAACATTGAAAAGTGCTTTAAGTGTTGATTTTTTAGTTAAACTAAAAGCTCTGATTTGAGGTTTGAAGAGGCTGTGCCACGTTGTCCAAAGATCTAAGTACACTTTAAAAGGATTGTTGTACCTTCTGTCATGGCATGTGAGGTCTAAGGTATTTCAGCAATGTGTCTTGTAGCTCTTAAGACCTCGACCAAAAGTATACTAATTAAAATCTTAGCTTGTAAGTCTAGAGGAGACAACAGTAAAAGGGAAGGACAAGATCATGGAGGGAAACCAGTTTTAAAATTCAAGCATGCACGATCTGATGCCTGCAAATGTTGATTGGCAAGCACATTGGTGATGTGATGGGTAACTTGGTGGGAGTTAAAATATGGGATTCAGATTTAGAGAAGTTTAAGTTTGTGTGGTATAGGCAAGTGGCCAGCCAGGAGAGTACTGGAATAGTTCAGACTTGAGATAACAATGGTACTGATGAGAGTTTTGAAAGTTGTGATCAGGAGCAGAGTGGAGCACTTGTTTTAATGGCAAATTCAGAATTGAAAATTAATTACATGTTAGTGGATAGACTTGATATGAGGAGCATTAATGAGAAAGTTGCCTTTTGCAACTTTATCACTTCATGCTTGATTACACAATAATAAAATAAATTTGTCTCGGCTAAGTGATAGGATGTAGAAAGAAATGTAAAAGGATGTTAAAACACATTAAAATAAACTATGGAAGGGCACTAGAGAACTGAGGTGCAGAAAAGAAGTACAGTACCTTTTCAGTATTACAACAAACAGTAAAAATGGTTTGAAGAGATCTTTAAAATTAGGTTGTAGGAAAATAGATTTGCTAAGTGATTATTCAGCCGTGGTCACAGTTACAGTGGATTCGTTGGGTACTGGAAAAGTCCTGCTGGAGTGACTAAATGCAAATTTGTTATGAATATTTGAGAGATGCAAATCTGGCCAGGTAAATGCAGGCCTATTGACTTTTTCTATTAATCATCAGCTTCTTAGTGTTAAACATGGTATACAATCAGGGACCATGCAAATATCACTGCCCTTGATGGCTGCCAACACCTTGATGTTCTCAAATCTCATATCTGTTCTATCTAAAAGAATGTATTTTCTTTTTCTTCATCTTCCTGTGTTACCATCAATTTTATCAATCATTACCAGATGTTCTAGCTTTTAACTCTGAAATTATAGTTTGCTCTTGATGATCACTCTCAAAAATTCCTCCTACATGCCTGTTTTCCTCAACTTTCTCAATAGTTGTGTGTTGTCCAGTTAATCTTCCTCTCAGGTCTCAAACCACAATTACATTGCTTTTAATTTAACTTGTATTGTCTACATTATAGTCCAACTTTTGTAATGCTGTAGTAATATTAACCAAATGTAGCATTTTAGTAATCTCATTCTGTCAGTAGCAGATAAAATTATGGAAATCATTCTGGTCAGCAGCAGTGTTGCAGAAGCAAAAATGAGTATGTTGTTCACTTGAAGTTCTTTATAGCGCACAGATTCTGCCTTAAAAGACAGGTGTAGGAAAGGCAGCATTGAGAAGGGCAATGGCAACTTGGCATCCTTTCTAGAAAAATGAATTGAGGTCACAAACTAGTGTCTGTAGCACCCATCAGTCTGCTTGCAAGAAATCTGGAGTTGAATCTAAGCTCCTGCTCGCAGTCCCTGATTTGGAAGTGGTTACAAATTTAGCATAGAAGAAAATGCCAACATCTCTGGTATTTTTGATGGCTGCTGTCATTTAAGACAAAGCTGGTGTCTGTTCTAATTATGAACATGATTAGCCGTTCCATAAAACATCAAGCATACAACATCCACCACATGTTGAGTTTTATTTGGTGACTGGTTCACACATTTGGCAATTGTTTAAGTTATTGCCTAATGTGGAAAGATCCCACACAATACTGACCTGAAACTCTTCAACTGTGACTTTTGGTGGATGTAAATAACTTCCAATAGCCTATCTTTAAAGCAAATTTTGCTCCACATGATGGCCTTTGCAGTCAAGAGGCTACGTATGGTGCTCTGTCTTGGTCTTGAAGATTTGTTATTGTTCTTGGGCCTGATAGATTTTGAAGTTGCTCCTTTAGAATTTACAACAGAAGTTCTGTTCGGACAGCAAGAGTATTTTTAACAGGGAGGAATACCTGAAACCTTCTATTAAATGCTGGTAAACCTCGCAGATAATTTTTGATTATACCATTAAAATTTTCTGTTAAAATTAAGATGACTTCCATTAATGCTGTCTGCTTGTTTTTTCATTGCCATATTATCTAACACAATAGGTGTTCATGGCACTGCCTGGATTTTTTGAAGCCCATATTGTGGAATGGCCTACCACTTTAGGGTGATGTTCAGTCGAAGTGACAAGTCCCAGTGGCTTCAGGTTTCCCTTGCTACAAAAGCTGCCTGATTAATCCCTACAACTACGACAGGGATCTACATTGGGTTGAGAGTAGTGCTTCGTAGTGGTAAGAGTTTCTCCCAACAATTCTGCATCAAACAAGGAATAATCATTTACAAAAGTGTACATCTTAGGCTGTTTGACAGCATTGTTGTGCTATTTTTATCACTATTTTGAAGTTTTGCTTGGTAATTTGATGAATGTGACAGTATCTACCAAGATTGGAAAGTCATTGGTTTGTGGTGTAATCTGAAGGAATTGCCCAGCAGTTGATGATAATCCATGCAAAATACTGTCTTTGATTCAATTTTAAGCACTCTCTTCAAGACCCTAGGTATTTGCATACCCCTGATGTAGTATATCCCAATATGCAACATCTTCACGCCTGCAGTGTTCAAACTTTGGAAACTCAAAGTATTACATTTATTTTAACTGCATTGTAAATATTACGTGCTGCATATTTTCTGCAAGTAACCAATTGGCTGTATCTGCTTTGCATTTTTACTTCTGAAGTATTTTTGCAACCTACTGTGTATTTAGTACTTCTAAGATTTTCTTTCACTCTTTAGTCAAAACCACTATTTTTCTTGTAAATTTTCATGTCCACATAGTTAATGAAAGTAACCAATATAAATTCACCAGCTTTTGAGTGGTTTTCAGCCAGATCGGTCAATGCTGAATGAAAACTCGACATTTGAAATTTTATACTGGAATTTTGCATCATTAAATGAAATTTCTACTGTCCAAAATAATACTGGCAATTGGCTCATTGAAATATGGAACAGAATATGAAGGTATTTCTGTTTGCTTTTTCTCTTGTTCTCTCCTTAGGTACTTGGGCCGTCTCTCATGCACTTGCAAGCTTCAGGCTTGGTTGCATACTTGCTCAAGTTATAGAGTAAACAGAAATAGAGTAAATAGTGTGGAAACAGACTCTTCGGTCCAACCGATCCATGCCGACCATGATCCCAAGCTAAACTAGTCTCTCCTCCTGGTCCATATCCCTCCAAACGTTTCTTATTCATGTACTTATCCAAATGACTTTTAAATGTTGTAATTGTACTCCCATCCACCACTACTTCTGGAAGTTCATTCCACACACGTACCACCCTCTATAAACAAAAAAAATTGCCTCATGTCTTTTTTAAATCTCACTCCTCTCACCTTAAAAATGTGTCCCCTAGTCTTAATCCCCCATCTTGGGGAAAAGACAACTACCATTAACTCTCTCTATACCACACATTATTTTATAAAGTTTTATAAGGTCACCTCTCAACCTCCTACGCTCCAGTGAGGAAAAACTCCCAGCCTATCCAGCCTTTCTTTATAACTCAAACCTTTCATACCTGGCAACATCCTGGTGGATCTCTTCTGAACCCTCTCCAGCTTAATAATCTCCTTCCTATAACTGGGTGACCAGAACTGCGCGCACTATTCCAGAAGAAGCCTCACCAATGTCTTGTACAAACTCAACATGACTTTCCCAACTCCTGTACTCAAAGGACTGAGTAATGAAGGCAAGCGTGCCAAACACCTTTTTAACCACCGTCACTATGCATGACACAAACTTCAAAAAATTATGTACCTGCACTCCTCTGTTCTACAGCTCTACCCAAGGCCTTACCATTAATTATATAGGCCCTACTCTTGTTTGTTGTACCAAGATGCAATAATTTATCCAGATTGAACTCTGTCTGCCATTTTTCAGCCCATTGACCCATTTCGTCAAGATCCCTTTGTAACCTCTTCACTGTCTACTATGTCACCAATTTTGGTGTTGTCTGCAAACTTACTAACCAGGCCTCTATATTCTCATCCAAATCATTGATATAACTGACAAACAGAAGAGGACCCACAACCGATCCCTGTGGAGCACCACTGTTGACAGGTTTCCGTTCGAAAAGTAACCCTCCATCACCCTCTCTGTCTCTGCCATTAAGTGAATTATGTATGCAATTGGCAAGCTCACCCTGAATCCCTTGTAACCTAATTATAGTAATTAGTCTACCATGCAGAACCTTGTCGAAGGCTTTACTGAAGCCCAAGTGAACAACAACTACTACTCTGCCATCATCAATCTTTTTGGTAACTTCCTCAAATAGCTCAATCAAGCTTGTGAGACATGATTTTCCTCGCTCAAAACCACGCTGACTATGATTAATCAATTTTTGCCTCTCCAAATGACCATAAATCCTTTCTTTTATAATCACCACCTCCAACAATTTAAACAAAGATACAAAATTAGCCACCCTCCAGTCATCAGGCACCTCACCCAGAGTTATAGATGGTACAAGTATTTCAAGGGGTCTTGCACTTTCCTCCCTTGTATCCCAGAACACTGTGGGAATTTTTAAATCAGGTCCCGGAGATTTAGCCATCTTTTATATTCTCCAAGACCTCCCAAACCACCTCTTCTGTGATGTTGACTT